GTGTGTGTGTGTGTGTGTGTGGTGGTGAGAGTGTTTGAGTGTGTGGTGGTAATGGGGTCTTGAATACTGTGGAAAATATCCCCAGTACAATGATAGGTATACTTTATATGGAGTCTACCAAAGGTAAACTGCCGCCCGATGGACGCCTCTTATTGGCGCCATAAAGGCGGGCTGTCGGCGCCAAGCTGCGACGCCGCTAACAATGGCTTTATTTTGATCCAATATTTGTGTTCATGGTTCGAGGTAGTGGAGTCTATAAAGGCTCTCGGGATTTGCTGGTGTCATACATATGGAACAACATGAGTTACGAATAGGCAAGAACTATGCAGAAATATAATAGATACGAATATGTTGTCAAACACGAAATTAACCTTAATTCAGAAGGCTGCAATAATCAATTGCAAAATTTCGTCTAAAGTGTGGTATTTGTCTCACAGTTTTCTAATTGATAAAAAAACTGCTATGGAGATTGACAAAACTATTTTTATAAATGAATGATATGGTAGATATCAACTAATTAAACGGATTACACTATTGTAAAGGTGAGAAAAACAGTGGAATAGGAATACTGAATGTGTACCATAAGTCATAACACTTAAGTTTGTGTTACCTTTTGAAATGAACTAATGCAAACGAATAGTGTAAATGCGATAGGACATTATTTTTTGCAAAATACGTGTTAGCTACTTGATAAATATCCCAGAGTATACTGACCATCATACATATCCCAGAGTATACTGACCATAATAAATATGCCAGAGTATACTGACCATAATAAATATGCCAGAGTATACTGACCATAATAAATATGCCAGAGTATACTAACTATGCCTTTATTTCACCTCACTAATATTATTCAGCACATAATATTCTCAGGCGGATTTGTAATATTGAAGGTCATTAACAGTAAACACGTGTATGATGTTCTGCTGCCACATATAGTTCCTAGAATAGAAGAGTCCTATCCACTCTTTAACTGGCAAGTAATATGGCAAACCTTCATGTTAAATTTATTGCCCCAAAACAACGTGAACTATTTTATGGCTATATTCATGAGACCCTTCCTACCAATGATAGGTTGTTAATGTTGGACATTAAAGACAACAATAGGTGTGACCAATGTACTGAATTGAGAACTGAGATTGAGAATAATATGCATATATTTTGTTTCTGTAGGCAGAAAGTTGTTCTTGTAAACTGGTTTACAGACACTCTTAAAGCTTTATGTGGACCAAGCATTAGAGTGGATTTAATGAGGTTTTTAATATTTCACATTGACATAAAATGCAAGAAAATTAAGAATACAATAATTATGCTACTTTCTGATTACATTTTGTGTGTGTATAGGCAGGCAGGATCAAGTAGAACATTTGGGGTTTACAGCCCGTGCTTTGTGATGATATGGAAAATTGATTTACTGAGAATTATATATATATATATATATATATATATATATATATATATATATATATATATATATGTCGTACCTAGTAGCCAGAACCAACCCTACCTAACCTAACCTAACCTATCTTTATAGGTTACGTTAGGTTAGGTAGCCGAAAACGTTAGGTTAGGTTAGGTTAGGTAGTCGAAAAGCAATTAATTCATGAAAACTTGGCTTATTAGGCAAATCGGGCCTTGCATAGTAGGCTGAGAAATATGATCTTTATATTGTATATTATTTAATAAAGAGAAAAAGTATATATATAAATAGGGGGAGGGAGTATCACCTCTGGCTGGAAGAAGGGGGGACCCCTTAGCCTTATATATATATATATATATATATATATATATATATATTAGTAATACTAATTGTAGCTTATCAAATGTACCTTAACCTAACGCTAAAGTGTTAACTAGAAGTAATAAGTATATTAGTGATCAGTTAATAAATAACACGAACACTTCCACAAACTCTCGGTTGACTAGAGGGAGAGACACTACATTCCCTTCCTGCCTTGCTCCCTATTCTTAATACCAGGGCCGCCCTGTTCTTAATACCAGGGCCGCCCTGTTCTTAATACCAGGGCCGCCCTGTTCTTAATACCAGGGCCGCCCTGTTCTTAATACCAGGGCCGCCCTGTTCTTAATACCAGGGCCGCCCTGTTCTTAATACCAGGGCCGCCCTGTTCTTAATACCAGGGCCGCCCTGTTCTTAATACCAGGGCCGCCCTGTTCTTAATACCAGGGCCGCCCTGTTCTTAATAACAGGGCCGCCCTGTTCTTAATACCAGGGCCGCCCTGTTCTTAATACCAGGGCCGCCCTGTTCTTAATACCAGGGCGGATACAGTGGTTTTCCCCAGAATTACAAGGTTATTGATCGTATGACCAAGCACGAAGTGCTTGGTCATACGATCAATAATTGTTCACGGGATATTTAAACCTACATACGAAGTTGTGAGGTGTTGACTAACATGAATATGGACACGATCTTGTGGTGCCAGAAGCCACTTTAGCCACCAGGCCGGGGGCCATCATGTCCCCAGGCCGGGGGCCATCATGTCCCCAGGCCGGGGGCCATCATGGCCCCAGGCCGGGGACCATCATGGCCCCAGGCCGGGGGCCATCATGGCCCCAGGCCGGGGGCCATCATGTCCCCAGGCCGGGGACCATCATGTCCCCAGGCCGGGGGCCATCATGTCCCCAGGCCGGGGGCCATCATGTCCCCAGGCCGGGGACCATCATGTCCCCAGGCCGGGGGCCATCATGTCCCCAGGCCGGGGGCCATCATGTCCCCAGGCCGGGGACCATCATGTCCCCAGGCCGGGGGCCATCATGTCCCCAGGCGGGGGCCATCATGTCCCCAGGCCGGGGACCATCATGTCCCCAGCCGGGGGCCATCATGTCCCCAGGCCGGGGGCCATCATGTCCCCAGGCCCGGGGACCATCATGTCCCCAGGCCGGGGGCCATCATGTCCCCAGGCCGGGGGCCCATCATGTCCCCAGGCCGGGGACCATCATGTCCCCAGGCCGGGGACCATCATGTCCCCAGGCCGGGGCCATCATGTCCCCAGGCCGGGGGCCATCATGTCCCCAGGCCGGGGACCATCATGTCCCCAGGCCGGGGACCATCATGTCCCCAGGCCGGGGGCCATCATGTCCCCAGGCCGGGGGCCATCATGTCCCCAGGCCGGGGGCCATCATGTCCCCAGGCGGGGGCCATCATGTCCCCAGGCCGGGGACCATCATGTCCCCAGGCCGGGGACCATCATGTCCCCAGGCCGGGGGCCATCATGTCCCCAGGCCGGGGCCATCATGTCCCCAGGCCGGGGGCCATCATGTCCCCAGGCCGGGGCCATCATGTCCCCAGGCCGGGGACCATCATGGCCCCAGGCCGGGGACCATCATGGCCCCAGGCCGGGGACCATCATGGCCCCAGGCGGGGGCCATCATGTCCCCAGGCCGGGGACCATCATGGCCCCAGGCCGGGGACCATCATGTCCCCAGGCCGGGGGCCATCATGTCCCCAGGCCGGGGACCATCATGGCCCCAGGCCGGGGACCATCATGGCCCCCGGCCGGGGACCATCATGGCCCCAGGCCGGGGACCATCATGGCCCCAGGCCGGGGACCATCATGGCCCCAGGCCGGGGAC